TGTATTGTACAGATGTATTAAATTTTCGAAAAAATAAAAGTTATATATATATATATATATATATATATATATATACTTATTTTTGTTACACTAATTGCACTAAATGAAAAAAACTCTCTCTATCTGTATGCTTTTTTCTTTTTTTTTCTTAGTTATCTTATTACGAAATTTTACATACAAGGCAGACTTTTATGGACATTGTTTTTTAATGAAAATTAAGATATCCTTTTACATCGTATTTAAAGTTTTAAAATATGTAACGTATATAAAATTATTTCTGATATCGATCCTCATCTTATTCACCCACTTTAATTTTAATATAAAAATCGAACAAAAGTATCTTGTAAAGAATTTATATAGTCTGCAGCAGTTGAGACAAACATATCTATGATACAATCTTAATTAAATATGATTTAGAACTAAATATTCATAAAATTAGATATGTAAATGATTTATAAATTGCTCACTGAGACATGCGCATAATCGAATAAAATTTCAATAACTAATATTTTCGGGGTAATTTAATTTTCAATTAAATCTATCTGATAACTGATAAAATTGAGATAATAAAAAATAATAGAATTCTCCGAACTTATCGATTATCCGAAAACGAAACTCGACGTTCAGTATATAGAATCAACTCAATTTCAATTTCACTAGTATCCATATTTTTATGTATAACACAGAATTGTCGAACTTAAATTTTTTGTAACTCTATCTTAAATTATTCGTATCTATTCATTGCATAAAAATTCAATTTTTATAATATATAGAATATATAGTATTTTTAAATTCGCATATCTGTAGGAAAAATACATAGACATTTGCATAAGTATAACTATGAGAATTTTGAAATACTTCTTTTAGTATGTTTCCTTTTGAAATAATAAATTACTTTATAAGATATTTATCGCAAGAAAGTTTGTTAAAACTCCGCCGCAGTAAAATAAACGCGCGCAAAGGAAACAATATAGAAAAAAAAATTATGATTAAGAATTCACATATTTTTCTTTCCTTTCTTATTAAATTAGTTTAACTTTTATCGTAAGGAAATGTATGTGATGAACTTTGAGAAAGGTTGACTGATCTAATTTGACTAAATAATTCCATATCAAAATGTTTTGTAATAATCAAATTTGTATATTTTAATTTACATATAAAATTATTCAAATGTTAAGAGGTAAATATTGTTTTTCATTATTGAACATTTATGCGAGCTGCTCTTTTTCACATAAATTTATCGCGTGCTTAGTTCTATATTAAATTTAATTACATTAAGTTAAGTTATTATGCAGCTATTATTATGGATTGCTGCGACTGTGTTCTTATTTTATAACTTTTTAACATGTGCGCTTTCATTATTATTATTATTATTATGATTATTATTATTATAAAATAGCCCTACAAGTTTTAGATCAGTTTAAGAGTTATTTTATTGTTGCACGTTTTAAAGTTGAAAAATCGTCTTAATGTTGCGTTTAATAAAACTAATTTTTTTAAGTTGGTTTTAATTGCACAAGTTTCATATTATATACATTACCATTTTTATTTGTCATTAATTAATTCTCGTATTGAAGTGCACATAAAGTGCGTCGACGACGACGATTGTGACACGGTCCGCGTTTTTAGTCCACTTGTCGGAATTGTCGTGCTGTTATTAACGCGGCGCGTTAATTACAAGAACAAGGCTGCGCTCATAGAGAGAATTATTTTTTGTCATTTAATTCACTATTTAGTCTGAGCTCGTGTTACAGATTCCACGTAGACTCATCTCCTTCTCTGAAACATTGCCTTAGATAAAACGTAATATCGCTGAGGCATCGCGATTCATCAATCTAAAAGCAACTGTGCGGAAAATTATAGATACTAATACATCATTTCGTATTTTTCGTTCTGTGTAAACCGTAAAATTCGTTTAGCTTTAGAAATCAGAAGCATAAGAGAGAGAGAGAAAGGAACTCTCTTCTCGCAAATACTAGGTTGCAAGCATTCTTATAAATCGTGCGAAAGCGCGGTTTCCTTTCACGCGAATGTAAGGAAAAAAAAGGAAGAAGGAGAGACCGCAAGAAAATCTCGCCCCTTCTTTCTCGCGGATTTTTCGCGCGAGGGTCGGAGTTGGAAAGATTCACGGTTCGATGGGCTGAATCATCCACTTTGCAACTAGCGAACTCTCGCAGAACGCCGGTAATGTTTGAACAGAGTCCGCGAACTGACGAAGGGAAAGTTCGACGCGCGTCGTCGCTAAAATAAAAACTCGCTTCTCTCTTTTACCCACATCTTTTATTACTGCTAACTTAAAAGTATTATCCCGCGCCCGCTAAAGGCTGAAGGAATTTCCGGAACAAAAGAAGAGAGTCGCGAGAGGGATATCGCTGTTCGATTCTTGAATGTAATTGTTTCATTCGTCGTGCTTCCTCGTGGAAATGTTGGAAAATTCAAATTCATCAGATATGTCGTCCGTAAAAAAAGACGCTTTTTATCGATAAATTTTACTTTTTTTTTTACTATTTATTGCCTGTATAGAATAAAATTGTTTTTCTAGATTTTAAGTATTTGTAAGAACAAATTTAGACATATATATGTTGTATATAAAAAATCTGAGAAAATTAAATAATTAGTTTTCTTATGAATCTTTTGCATCATGTCGTATTACGATAAGAAAAACTGTAATTATTAATTTTTTTATATTTATACAATATATTAGAAGTCCAAATTTGTTATTATGAATACTTTAATACTAGAAAAGGATTTTCATTCTGTATAGTCAATAAATAATTAGATGAAAATAATATATAAAAGACAGATAGAGTCAGCATCCCCTTAAATTCTAGGAATGACGGACCATAAACTTTGAATGAGAGATAATATAAATTTAATAACTGTAATCAAATTCGAAATAAAATTATCGAGATGTACCATAAAGCTATTATGAGAAAATATATTTAATTATTATTAATCTTTTTAATATTGTATATGTCATGTTAATATATTTTATTTTAAATAAGATATATTAAAATAAAATAGAAATTTAAATTTTCTTTTTTTCTTTATTAAAAGTCAAATAATAATTTAGAAAATATGAATATTTCTTAAATTCTTCGACGAAACATTACAAATTTTGAATAAGATGATATAAATTTAATAACTAAAATCAAGTTTGAAAATATGATAAAGCTAGTATGGTTAAAGATTTATTATGAGATAACATATCTATAATTGCTAAATTTTTAACATATATTTAAAAAATAAGGTATATTTAAATAAAACAGAAATACAGTTTAAACTTTCTTTTTATTTCTTCATTCAAGTCAAAGAATAATTTAAAAGATAAATTTTTGTGTATAATATAATTAGAAACATTCACGATGATTTTAATGTTTCGCAAATTTTTACATAGTATGGGTATATTTAGTAGAAAATAATTAATTAAAATATAATTAGAAAATAATTAAATGTATGCATTGCATGTGTATGTGTCGTATGCATATATTTTTATTTTATATATTAGATATTTAAATTTTAGATATTTAAATCAGTTTTAAAGATTAGTTTACTATTGCGTATTTTTCTGTTTATAAAAGTTCGACTCTCTTAGAGATTTATTTTATTGCCAAAGCGAGTAAAAATGGTTCCGCCCATGTAATTCTTTCGTGATGACGTTCGGATGTCTTTGATCAGCGGATCTTTGCTGTCTTCTTCATTTTTCTGCTTTCTATCTTTGCTTTCGGAGTTTCGAGACGTATCAACCAGCACTTGAAATATCAAGGAGCTTCTTTAAGTCTGAAATCCACTTTTACTATCTTAGCTGCACTTTATTTAAATAAAAAGCATTTTTAAAGATTAATGATTAAATCTGAAATGATCCATGTATGTGAGCAAAGAACGCATTATAATCTAAAAATATTTTAGGGAGAAGAAAAAAGGAATTTCGCGAAGAATATTTAAAATAGCATACTAAATGTCGATTTATTCTAGATTGATTCCAGATTCTAGATTTTATGTTAAAAAATAGATATACTGAATATATAACTGATAAAAATAAAAAGCAAAAAGAGATAGATGGAGAGAAATATCGATTAATTGACTGATTTTTCTTAATTTTCTCAATCATTTGTAACGCAAATTTAATTACAATATTAATGACAATATTACTCTTTTAATATTTGCTTAAACAGCTTTTTTCATATCTCAGCTGCTAAGGCATTATACATTTTTACTCCTTAGTAAAAAACGTATTCTTTGTGCACTCGTTGTTCTACGAAATTACATTGTAATGCGCCCCGGTTTGTCATTTACTTACATTTTCCGCTTTTTGCAACTCCTATTTTTTAATTTTGCTCCGGTAATGTGTTCTCTTTAAAATTCTAAAAATTAATATAAATACATTATAGTACAGTTTCTGTTTTATGGGCATAAACTGCAGCTTGTAGCTCCACATCTATTACATCGTAATATGACTCTCATAATAGGTATGGCTCGATTTTGCCCTATTTGCAATTTACTCAGCTATGTTTCTCGCGTATCAACTAACAACGTTGCACAATACTTAAAATGAGGTGCTATAATTGTCTCGTATATTTAGTCTTTATATATTTAGTCTATTTCGTATATTTATATATTCTCGTATATTTAGTCTTTATATATTTTGTCTATTTTATATAAGTGTCCTATATTATATTTAGTCTTCATATATTTTCTTATATAATGGTCTTATAAATTTAGTCTTACATATCGATATAAAATTATCTATCGTATTAAAAAAAAAGGAAAAAATCAACTGTCATTTTAGAGGAAATTAATGACGTAACGCGATCCTCTGCTTCCGGTCCGAATTAATTAATTTTTGCGTATTTGTCGACTGACTCATCATTTCTAGGGTGCGTCTCTCCCTTATTACGTAACTTATCAGCAGATTAATGGCCGAATTAATTACCGAAAAAATTATAGAGAACAAAAAGTACGCTTTTTTTTTCAACTTTGTTCTTTGTTTCTTCTTTCAGATTGGATGCAGCTGACTGATCGGAACAGCGAGGAGAACGAAATTCCAAGATATTGGACTTCGTGCAGAAAAAAAAAGTGAGTGATGGCAGAAATTTGTTTTAAAGCGAGAGTTATGAAACGAAAGGAAATATTACGTATACATATAGAGCTGGTCGAGAATTATAAGTAATATATGCATAAAGAAGAGAAGAACTTTCATATTGTTTAAATAATTTATTTTTGCAACAAAATATTTCTCTGTTCTATATTTTTTTAAATTTATTTGCAAATTACTTTCACTCTCACAAGATAGAATAGCAAAAAAAAGTTTAAATAAATTGCTACGCAAGTATTTTGCGATGAATTTTATCTCTCCGTGAATTTGACTTTTTAAATTTATAGGATACGACCGGTTGGGCACATACAGATAGAAAATAAAGGAATTAAATTAAATAAAGCTCGCCGCGCGTTAAATATGTAGGTAGACTTTCATATGAAAATTCTTTCCGCTTTAATTCAACTTTGACAGAAAATGATATTTTAAGCCGATGCGATGGAATATTTAATCTATTTTAAGCTAATTATGATATATATAATAATATTTGATATTAAAATAATTGGTATATAAAAATTTTAAATATATTAGAAATATATAAGTACTAATTTAAAAATAACTAAAACAAATACTAATAAATATTAATTCTTAGAACAGAAGTTAATTAAAAATCATTTAAAAAATGGAAAATTAACAGTACAGATTCTGCTGTAATTTGATCACGTATTGCACAAGCGAGGAATATATATTTTACAGCATTTAACGAGGTACCGCATACGGATGTTGCATGTTATGTTAGATGTTTACATACGCGATGACTTAAGGCGATAGACTGAGAGAGAAAAGTTGTTTGTTCAATTAATATAATCTGTCATATCTCAGCAACTGCTTAGATATACATATAAATTCTTCTTGTTAAGTAAAATCATTTTACTGGCATTTATATTACAAGACATTATAACTACAGTTTCTTGAATCAACGTCTGAAAAAATTTATAGGATTTTATTATGATTTTATAATGCACGAAAAATATATATATGTATATGTCATTTATAATGATACATAGAGTGCTCCATTTTATTTTTGATGTTTAACAATTTTAAAAATGAATTTCTTAAAATTGTTACAAGTAAAAATTACTTGGTTAAAGAGGATATAATACTGACTTTAATTTAATATGTTATGTGAGATTTGCCTCAGGTTATAGATTTTTATAAGTAAATCTCTATTTTTATATTACATATTCTTAAAACTAATTGCAAAACATTTTCAATACACACAATTAGTAAAAAATTAAGCATTCGCTCTTGTTTTGAATAAACACTGGAATTTATTTGCATATTTAATTTAAAAAAATAAAAAAGAACAAAAAATAAGAAACAAAAAGATTCCAATTATGCCCTCTCCGTGGAAAAATCTTGCGGACGCCCGTATTTGTAAATCAATGTGAATCCAATATAACAGCGAAAATTCTAATTTTTAAAATACTTTGCAATTTTGACTCTGATCAAAGCATTATTTAGAACGAAATTTCATGCATGATTACTTTCAAACGAAATAATTGACATTCACGTTTGCGTGCATTTATGCATTAATCTATATATGACTGCGCTGCGTAGCTATTTAATTTAACCGTCCATTAGCAATCATGGGGAGTATCTTCCGATATTCTTTGATGTTGCATTACTGGGTTGAATTCAATCAGCTGCGAGTAATCTGGCAGAAATACCGTAGAAAAGGTGTCACCAACCGCGCGCGGCGGTTTCGCCGGAAATGAAAGGTCCGGTGCACTCTAAGTGCACATCGCAATCACCTATGCTTTGTCGTCCCGGATAAGAAAATGAAGTGGATATCGGCTAAAGGCTGCGGTCGATTTAAGAGCGTCTCTAACTGCCGAACTATGTGTCATTGACATCGCGAAGTTCGATTATTTAATTTCTAATCGAAATTTTGACGTTATATCAATTATTATTCAAGGAAATTGCTAAATGTTTAAATAGGGAATAGTTAATTTTACGAGACTAAATTAAGTATTCTCCCATACAAGATTTCCATTATAAATATTAAAACA